GCATTTAGAAGATTTGTAATTAATAAGCACTAATTAAATAATTCAACAATATTTTGAAAGTCCAAAACCTAAACTAACGGTAAGTCGAACTTCCGATATGTCGAAGTTTTTCGTCAGTCCTATCAGATTCGAGTTATCGCGAATTCACTGTATTACGTTTATAATTTAGTAAGTTTGAACTTCTATGATTTCGTTTTTCACGAATCCGTTTTTCACGTCACTCAGTCACAACGAGCATACAATGAGGTCCCTTCGCTCTAGTTATGCATAAACAAAGATGCATAAGCTATAGATGAAATATGCTTACCTGCAACATCAACAGTCAAAGTATTTCTTACATCCAAAACTGGGGATGGAGTCAAATCATTAACACAAGCAAAAGCCCCAAAAATATTTACACATTTAGTTTGACTCGGGCAGATCGCAGGGCTCTCCTCACACTCGTTAATATCTATAGTGTGGAATTTAAAAAAAAAAAAAAAAGAGTCGAATTAAATTAATTTCTTAATAACTATACATCAACACTAAGCATCAGTTTCACTATTAGATTATACCTACACAACCATCAACCCTAATGTCGGATCCATTTGCCTTGTATCCCTCATTGCAAACACAACTGTAACTTCCATCTGTATTTACACAAGTTGCAGATAAAGGACATGGTTCGTTGGAGCAATAGTTAATATCTGCAGAAAAAAATAAATACATTCTTTAATACTCATATTTAACTGATACTAATAGGGAAAAAATTTCTGTTTCATGAGATTTTTGAATGGATTTCCAATCTGCAATCGGCTTCTCTCAAATAACAACAGTTCTTAAACGATTTAATAATACATTCTGAAAGAGGGCTTTTTGAATATTCACTACTAAATACTATGTGTTCAGACATCTATGCTATGTAGTGAGTGCTAAGTTTTTATGATGCAAGGCATACAATATATATATATATATATATTTTCATGTGCGTGAAACAATGTAATTTTTAAAAAAATTCTGAATGAGAGTTTAAATTAATGTGCACAATGTATTTTTATCATTATTTTAACTAAAAAAAGATGAATGGAAAGATAGATTGTTAAATGACCTGGCTTAGAAAGACGTGGAAAGAAATTTTCATGTGCGTGAAACAATGTAATTTCAAAAAAAATTCCAAATCGGAGTTTAAATTAATGTGCAGAATGTATTTTCATCATTATTTTAGTTGAAAAATGATGAAGTGAAGATAGATCATTTAACTTTTCAATAAACAAAAAAAATACAACAAATAACTTACTCGAATTAAAATAGAAATTTTGATTAACAGATTCTTCATAAAAATCATCCGCAAAGTAATTATAATAATACACAAAAATAATGAAAAATATAATCAGTAAACAAACTACAACACCGGTAAAAATTTTACATAATTTACTTGGAAACATGCATGCTCGCATGCTTGACATGTATGTCTAGTAAAACCAAAATTCACAATAAATTCGAATCTAGAGTAACACAATGAAAGATAAGAGTGTTTGTTAAAAAGGGAGAAAAAAAAATCTTTATCTCATTTAAGAAATGATAAGGCTTCATTGATATGAATTAAATGTTGGATAAAATGATCGCTGAAGCTTTATTTTACAACCAGGAAGTGTGGTTTTAGGGAATTGAAACTCTCATATCATGTGACTCTCATCGCATGCATCTTTTCAAGGTCTGAATATTAATGTTATGTTTCATGTTTTATTACTCTTCGTTTTTCAGATTTCCCTTTCTCTTTGCGAATCTTCAACTGAGGGAGAAGCCTTCCTCACTGCTTGTAAAAATGTTTTGTCAAAGTGCATCGTTAAATTTCTATATTGCTTAAAAAGATGCTTCTTCAGTGATGCTAGTTTAACACATTCACAAATTAATCAATTTCAAAGAACTTATTTTCAGCCATTCATCGTACTCATCGAATTGAAAAGGTAAGATTTGCTACCTTTTTCCTATCATTAAATATATGAAATCATTTTTATTTTATTTGTATTAAATTAAACTCGGTGTTTAAATTGAAAAGGAAAAACCTAAATAACCCTTTGATCGAATTAGGGAATTTTCAGTCTTCTAACAATGCTAAAAGTTTAAAGCTCTAAATAAGCTAATTTGTGC